AAAATTATAAATTCTGCTAAAAAATTACATGTGAAACAAATCTTTCTTTCATTGAATAATTTGACAGAGAGCCAACAAGGAAATGGTCTGTAAAATGAACTACAGGGAAAATAAGCAGGAAAGACTTAATCAAATAGATCTACAGTTACCTGCATTCAGAAAATGAGTTGTTAAATGTTGGCTTACCTTGAAGTGCTTGCTACTGTGGTCAACTGAGGCCTCTCCACAACCAACATACAAACAGTCATGATGCAAACAAACCCACAGGTATGGTCCACGAGCTGTACATGAATCACATTTGTTTAGCTGAAACAGACAGGAACATTTCATAAAATTCCATGGACCATGTTACAAACATATCTCCAAGAAAAATACTCAAAATGACCAATAAATTAAAAAATACACTGTTTTTAATCAAAACGAATTGAGAAACTTCACAACATATGCATGTTACACATCAATGATGTCGTTTTAAGTGAAATTAATGTAAGCATGTACACAATAAAAGTCCAGGAATGCTACAAAAAATACATACTGTGCAATATACACACCAGTCAAATCTTTTTAACTGAATCGGAAAGTACTATAAAAGTTCAAATTAGTTAAATTGGAATACACAACGAAACTCCATAATAGTCTGGGCTTTAAACAAAGAAGACAAACTGTCTAAAACAGCCCAAAAAGTACAAAAAAAAAAGAGAACAAAAGTCTAACTTTTTGTTCATGCTGAAATAGTTTAAAAGAATAATGCATTTTCTGCTCTCACACATCTTTCACTTTTTTTTTTTAAATGAAACGGATAAGCAAACAGTGTAGAATTCCACATATAATGCCCAAGACACATTTTAAAACTAAAGCAGATGAAAAAACACCAGAAGATTCCAGATCCCATACACCACATTTTAAACACAAATGGTAAACAAAAAATACCTGGTAATTCTAGTTCTTATAAGCAAATTACAGATGTTAAAATAAAACAAATAGGAAAATATCAGAAGGTTCCAGCTTTCATACACTAAGTTTTTAAACATAAGCAGTAAAACAATACCAGAAAACTTCAGCATTGATGCACTATATGTTTTAACAGAAAGAATGGTGAAATAACAGGTAATTCCAGCTCTCATACAATAACATAATATAAGTTACATATCATTAATATGTATACTATTAACTAATAACTTGCAAAATGGCCAACATGGATATTAATCTAGCATTAGTTTTTAACCCTTTAAAAAAGATTTACCTAATGTATAACTTGGGACTAAAGAACAAACAGAAAAAAATATATATATCTTAAAAATTATATGTGTATATAGAAAAGTAAAATAGGTTGTTATTCATATTGTTTTCAATTCAAGTTATAATGAACCAAAATGACATTAAAAAGTAGACATACGTTCCAAACATGAAGTTTATATATTTAAACATTTTTATACACAGAACAAATCCACCAGACTAATTTTACTGCATCACAGAAAAAAGCATAAAAAGATATTTATAATTGTTAGCACTGTAAGTATACAGAAAGAAATGATCAAATATTGATATGTGAACCACATAAGGGGTTTAAGCTCTTCTTAAAGTAATACTATATGTTTCGTTGGTTTATTTTGGATATTCGTGTAAGGTATATATGGGTTATCTGTACTAGTCATTCCCTAATTTTTAGCTGGTAAAGGGAAGGCAGCTAGTCAACAGTGCCAGCTTCCAACTCTTGAGTTACTCTAATTGATTTGTGGGTAGGAGTGTAACTTTTTTATGTACAAGTCCAGACAAGTAGGCATGAGAAACATAGTTGTCCAAACTGACTCTACTAGCCTAACTATTTGTTTTCACTACAATGGCTGAATTATTACATATTGCAATTATATAGATTTCTACATTTATTTCTGTGACTTTTTACACAGTATTAGAAAACTACAAATAATATGATTTGTTACAACATATGTGACACAAAAAAAATCTAAGGCCAGGTTAACCAGTTTATGTATGTGTTACCCAGGTGTATTGAAAAAAACCTGACTTAATTCAGCATAAATAAAAATCCAAATCCTATATCTAATGTGCACTAAGTCAGTCTATGATTAAATCAGTATTAGACTGTAGCCCTCCACCAATTCGAGGAAACACATACTACATTCTGTAATTCATGATGAAAAAATATATTTAAAGCACTAAAGTGCTGGGGAAAGAATGAGTATTTGGTATACTCAGTTGTGCTCCAGACGATTACTATATGTGTGGGAAATGTCACCCTGCTATGTGGAAAGCTATAGTTTAATGCTGATTACATCATAGAATGGCATAGTATGTTGTGTGTAGGGGTATGAATTCCATTCAAAGGCTTGGTGATTGCACAAACAATTTTCGGTAGTCGTGCAATGTAATAGCTTTCAGTTCTGTGAAGGGTGAGCACAATTTCAGAATTAGTGTTTCTGATTATTATTGCTTTTTCAATATTATTTTTTAATTAATTCAAGTTTGTTCAGCTTAATTGATTAGTGTCAGGAGTCACAAAATTTTCATCTAATCGAAATTATAGTTTTTGATTATTCCAACTAGCAATGTAATTGAAATACTGTCATTATGTTTGTTTGTTGCTATGCACAAAGAAACACAATGGGTTACCTGTACCCTGTCACAAAGGGTATCGAAACTCATTTTGTAGACTTCTAAGTTTTTTTTTTTTTAGTCAACTCATATGTAGGGTGACCAGATATCCAAACTGAAAAACCAGGACAGCCCAGCTCTTGCCCCGTATTTCAAAATGGTTGTTACAAATTTGAAATAATTTAACTTTTATTTAACTTACTTTAAATACTACACAGTATTTCCAAATATATTAACATTGGCATTGTTTTTGAAATAATTCCAACTACTTTTCTGGTGATATACACACAAAACAAATGAGCAAAAATAGTCGAATTATACATCCAAGAAGTCTTTAATTGTTCACTTTATTTCATTCATCTTAAAATTGGCTACTTCATACCTGGATTTATTTAGGAATCCATAAAATTTTTAAATACACTTCTTTTAGGTATTAGCATTACTTTGAAACTTTTGAGACATATTTTTGTGAAGAATGTAGATGTTATGTTTTTTTCTTTAAACAGTCATAAAATTCAGTACATCACTGTGTAAAGTGTGTTTTGATGATAAGCACTGCCTTAACTGTTTCCACATTCAGACCTGTGGAAACCTGAGTTTCTCACCACACACAGGTGGAACTTCTGAGAGAGTTTGGCAGCAGGAGAGTATGTATTACAAAAATTAGCAAGTCAAGAAGGCTTATTACATTCATAATTTGATGTAATTGACAGTTTGATGTCATTATCATAAAACCGGGACATTTTGTACATCCTGAGAAAAGTTCTCAGGATACTGGGACAAAGTACTAAAAAATGAGACTGTCTGATCACTCTACTCATGTGAGAATAATATAATAGTTGAATGTAATCGATTAATGACTTTGATGATTAACTGATTAGCAAATTCCACTAATTACCAACTCTTCAGTGGCAATGGGTATTTAACAATTTAAAAAAACAAACAAAAAAAAACAAATAGGAAGCATTTTAGTAAATTTTAATAACTAAATGTAGGTTGGATTTTACACATTTTATGCAGGCAGAGCCACATTAGCTCTGGGCTAGTAAATAAGGAATTCACAGTAGTTGAAACTCAAAATTGGGAGTCTCAGGCATCAAGCTAGTGGATTTTTACATCCCTGCTGGGATTTCATTATCACTCTTATAATGCACACATGGCTTCATGTGAGTGCTGAGTGGGATACGTACCATGAATGCTCAGATTCATAGAGTGGTACACTAACCAACAGGCTCCCTACATTTGCTAATAATCAATAGCACTAACAAAAGTCAACAATGATTAATACAAGCTTTATATTGGAAGCAGGATTCAGTAATCTTCTTACATACATTTTCATTTCTCTCAAAAAACATTACTACACTGTGTTTTACAATAAGTCCTAAGTTAAAATGTAAACAATATTATTTCACTACAAAAATATAAATAACTTTATCCCAGTCTATTAAGTAATATATTATTTGTCCATTACCTCTTGTTTTTTGATGATGTCTTCTTTAGTATAATTTCCTACAATGACGATGTGGGGACAGGTGCTAAACTGACTGATAGCCATTCTTTAAAACACACAGAACCTGGTTACATTTAGTGTGCTTTCACTCCTGAAGTAATAGTTATGACATGAAAAAATATAAAGAAAGAATATGTATATAAAGCTTTGCCTTAACACTTATTAAAGTACAATAGTTTTTATATTCAAACTTTTTACTTTCAAAGTTTTGTTTTTAACTGAATATATGAATTTTTCTTCAGAACATTATCAAAAACTGCATACAAATTCCTTGAAGAAATAAAATTTTTATATCACATTGTACTTGTACATATACAATCCTAGAATAATGTAAATAGTGACACCTAAAACAATTTAAATTCTTAGCTATAAACAAAGATAAAATAATACATGAAAATAGATGTCAAAAGCTAGAAAAAGAATAATTTATCAGAACAACAGAATATAGATATCCACAGCTAGAAAAAAAGTGCCACAAAAAATTTGATGTCCTAATCTATGAACAAAAAAAATGACAATGCTCTAAAAACAGATGCTGTAGACTGAAAATAAAGATACTAAACAGTAATTGATGACTTCAGAAGACTTCATTAAGCAACATATAAACCATCCTACTGCAGCTATCATTAGACCTAATATAAAACATTACATATAAATATTGATAACTGTATTTCCTAAACAGTAGAAGATAAAAAAAGACATAACACAAGCAGGGCAACTCAGCATTTAATTCACACAACATGAAAAGATCATACACACACAGAATACTTGTTTTGTGAGATAAATATTGTTAGCTGCATGAAATAATAAGAGAAGCCTTAGGTGAGAATATTAGGATATGTATATAGCTATTAACATAAGAATCTAATTGTAATGATAAAATCTGTGGCACTTTTACATTAAAAGAATTGTCATTCATATTAATTCTGGATGAACCTAATTCTGGATACCTAATTTTTTTGTATTTCATTTTGATCTTTTCACTACAAGAAGAATAACTAGAAAGTTCCCTTGTTTCTCCTTTGAAGTTATTAGTTGTTTTGAAATCTTTAATATAGTCTTCTCTAGTTTTTTCTAAGAATCTACAATAAATAAACATGAAGAGCCTTGCTATGAATAGTTTCAGTGATTAAATTAAAAAACTGGAAATATGGACGTCAGTATTAGGGGTAACTTAAGCACTGACATCCCTTAGTGACAGACTTGTTCCTCAATAAAAACTTTTTCAATTAGCTATAAACTTATGGAATGGTTTAACTAATGAAGTGATATGTGCAGTTAGTTTGATTTGTTTTTTGAAATACACAAACATGAAAGTTTAAACTCAATACTTTGAAGTTTTGGTTAGTTCTTATGTTTTAAATACAAAAGTACTGTACAAAACTAAAGGACAGTAGTTCAGAAGTTTTGTGTGAGCTTGAAAATATAAATATGATTTAAAGTAATAGTTAATACATAAATTTCCTGCATATATGCTGAAAATGTATTGCAAAAACAGTTAATAAAAGGCTTTGCATCTTTTAGCTTGCCAAATTTTTTTCATTACACTACTGTGAATCCACACTGTACATTGACAAAAAAAAAAAAGGCATGAGAAAAACAATGCTTTACAAACCTTAAGACTTATAAAAAAATTTGATATATTTCGTATGAAAACATTGTATTGTTTCGTTAACATACGCTTACTAATTTAAAAGTTATAGAATGAAAACTATAACAAGCGCAAAATGGTTATGAGGTCGGTCTCAGGGACCGAGTGCATGCTGAAAGAGTTAACAAATAATGAAAATCAACACTGACTAATCTACACGCAACTTCTCAAATAATCTACAGAAGCATCCAAACTATACACACGATGATAAAAAACTTTTCAACAAGTATAAAAATTTAAGCATGCATGGGGTCCAAAAGTCCCCCGCTTATACTTAATATCAAATAAATAAATCACAATTACTAACCTAATTTTTGTAGATAGAAATGTACTGAAAAGAAGCTATTCAAACCTCTAATTACTGTGACAATTTAAATCATATAATCTTTAGTTCTACTCTGCAAAAAAAAGTGTAAATATTTAAGCTCAAATATTTCAAGCCAAGTGTTATTTTTGTTGCTCTGCACACTACAACTAGTCCAATGTATAATCAATACAGAATTTTAGTTTTTTGATGTTATAACATGATTTGCAATTAATTTGTTGGTCACCATCTGCAAAAGCTGATGGAATAGTAAATAAAAAGAATTCCTAAACCAAACTGCACAGAGCTTGACTTTGAATTTTTACTACCTGTGTGTTTATAAGTTAGTTATTTATTTATTAGACACGAAAAAAAAAATATTAACAGTATGTATAAATATAACTGACTGTGACATATATTTAAATATTATTATATATACGCAAAGATACTTATATGTGTATGTGTGCTAAGCATTACCTCTATAAAATTCAACATTTCCCATGCTAACATGCACACACAAATTTACGGAGATTATAAAATTTGGTACTTTAGTTTATGATGACTTACACAAAATACAATCCTTGAAGTTAATTGATTATAAAGTTTTACTTTCATAATTGAGAATGTTGTGAATCAGATTTCTCTTGAAACACTAAATCTCATTGTCTCACTTGATAGATAAAGGGAAGTGAGTACTATTAATATAACTTAAATTTGCTTTTAGCTACAAACATGTAAGAACAGTAAGTATACTAACCTCAAGTGGTCAATCAAAGTTTACGCTTTACAGTGACACTTCTAAATACTGCAGACTCTGCTATTGATGCTAGGCCTCAAGATTTAAAAATGGAAAAGTTGTGACTTGAATTAAGATGAGTGACAGTGACTAAAAATAATATAACTAATGCAAACTAAAGTCCCTAAACAGGTGCCTTAATGTTAATTAAATTCAAGGTGTGAAACTAACCAGAGCCAAATGCTACTAAAAATCATGTTATGCATATAAAATGTTAAAAAGAATGAACTTAACTGGCACAAAAAATAATGCTTAGGTTGATCATCCTATATAAATAAAGCAACATTGTTATTTCCTGCCAGTATAAGAAGGTGTACTCTAAATGTAAAAGAAAAGTTATTTTATCCATACTGTGAACTTAAACTGTCTGAAACAGCTTCCTACATACAGCTCTATACACACTGTAGAGACTGTCTCTGACTTTACTAGCTGTAGGTTTAATTGAACAGTTGTTACTACTAGTGACTGTAATACGAACAGTGCTGGATTAACCAACCATGGATCTGGAAAAAAAAAGAAAAGGCACCTAACTCAACCAAATGCTTTTTAATTAAAACCTTTCTCAACAACCAAATTTGTAATCAAACACACCCATGTGAAAATTAACATGTTAAAATAGATAAAAACAATGAAGCAAATGTTAAGCAGCAAAAAAATAAAAAATAAATGAAGAGAGAATTGCATTGCAGTAATCTTGCACATTCTTGAATCGGGAGCTTACATATTTCACCAAAAAGAGTAAAAACATTCTTATAAAATGATAAAATTGTTTGAATTTAATCTAAGTAATGAAACTCAATCACAATATAAAAAAATTAGGCTATAATGATTATAATTTCTTTAATAACCAATCTCTGACTCAAAGGCACATAATCAAAATATGAGTATTTTGTTAGGTGGTGGGGTATTCCATCAGATCTGAAAATCCGGAAGCTTAAAAGTGAGGTATGTGGCTGTATTGAACATGATCCGGGGATCATTTTGTCATGCTGTTTTCTGTGATCTGAGTAGTTATTAAGGTGTTTCTATCCTACCAAAGTGGACCACCCCCCATGCTATTGTCATGTTATTTTGCCATTATTTTAGTACTCCTCTCTCCTCTTATCCTTGCACTTCACTCAGAAAAAGTCTTCATAATCTCTGTTCCTTATCTGATCTTTAATTATTCTTTTCCTTCTGCTCTCATACTCCTTTGAGAGAAAGCTGTCAGATACATCTGTAAGTTTACCACTCTTGTATGCATGCATCATTCTCTTTGGGTGCTCGTGTGTTATCGTGATTGCATTCACATATGCTATGCTTGTAACATCATTAATATTTTGCTACTTTACATCTGCATGTTAACTTTGAATCTAACCTCATTTCCATCTCTACAATAACAAACATTCAGAGATTCTGGCTCGTTGTCTCAGCAGTTCCTCAAAGGTTTCACAAAAAGTTTGGAAATGGTAAGTGTTCCACAGATAATGCACAACAACAATGCCATGACCACTGCCTGAATTAGGGTAAAATATCACCCAACTCAACTAACAAAAACAAATCATAAATTCTTTGGATGTTATCTAATTATGGATCAGCATAAATGCATATTCTTGTAGATTTTTAGAAAGAGACAAAATGCTACATATGGTTCCTACAAAGAACCTTGTCATTTGTGCTGCCGATGAGTCAGAAACTAGTTGTTAATGTTTACAAACTGATTGTTACCAAACTCAAAATATAAACTAGGTTTAAAATAAAGACACTCATGCACGAATGTGAACAAAGAACACAATGTGATTTTTTTTTAGTTCCTCTTAGGACACGAGCCTGGGTCCGATTGATAATCCAGTTACGTGTACAAGTTAACGAATAACAGCTATGAAGTTACAATCTGTTACAACTTTTGCTATTATTAAAATTTATGTTAAGTTAATGATACCATACTTGTAGTAGTGCTGTAAGTAAGTGGTATTTGACCTACCAATTTTGAAGCGCTCGCATTGTGACTCTGTGCAATAGCAGCACCCTGAGATGCAATGTTCTTAACTAAGTTCTAGTAGTAATGTGGTTTGTCTAATCATCCCAAAGGAAGCAAAAGAAATATATATTTGTTATGCATCTACATAACAATATATGTAGCAAAATAATATAATAATTATCAAGTATATAGTTGTTATACAGCCTATTTATATAAAAGCTTCAAATAACGCTAGTTTTGTTCCTACTTATGATTCACTAATAGATCTAAAAGATTTAATTAAAAG